GCCGCGCAGCCGCCGCCGCCGCCGCCTGACGCCGGGAGAGACGCCCGAGGCCGTGGGGGGCCGAGGACCCGGGTAGCCCCCTTCCCCCCCGGACGGCCCGCGTCACGCCACCGTCCCCAGGGCCGGGCTCGCTCTTGGTGACATCGCCCGGCGTCTCCGGAGCCGTCGCCCTGAAGGAGAGAGAGCCAGGGTGCTGGCCCTGCGGTCAGGCCGGGCCGATGCTGAGCTCTGCCTCCGCACCCCTCCCCGCAGGATGCTGAGCAGAGCCGCCCCGTCCTCTCGAGTCCTCGTGTCCGTCCGCAATAAACTCCAGCGCAGCCTCCTGCCGGTCTGTTGTGTCTGCCTCGTTGCCTCCCGCCCCACCTGGGGTCTGGCCTCGGTCTCCCTTAACCTTCCCTGTGGCCCTGCGCTCCATCCCTGCTCTCCTACCTGTGGGCAGGGTGGGGAGAAACCGGGGCCACCGAAGGCAGACAGCGTAAAGGACTTCCCGGTGCTCAGTGTACCTGGGGCAGAGACGAGTCCCTTTCAGAAAAGCCGAGAGTCTGCCCTTGTTCTAGATGGGGACAAACTGAGAATTGGTGTCAGGGCAGCAGAATGGCAGGGGCAGAGGTGAAGTCACCCTGCGACCTCAGGATGCTGCGGGAGGGAGGGACGGGCGCCTGCCTTCTCCCCGGGGCCAGGGCGGACGGGGTGAAACTGTCTCCGCAGGGCACTGCCTCTGCTGAGGAGGACAGCCGCTCTGGCCTACGACTGGAAACTCGGGGCTGGCTTCCGGAAAAGCAGTCGGGGTAGTCGAGGGCCCCGTCCCTTCCCAGGGCTGAGGCCTGGCTCCGTGCAGGGCCCCTAGGTGAGCAGGACGCCTCCGCTCCGGACGTCCCTTTGGGCCGCAGACCCTCCCAGGCGCCTGAAGCTGAGCGTCTGGGAAGCTCCGAGGATGTGACTGGGAGTGTCAGCTCCGCTCTGCCCCGCAGCCTCCCCGGAGGGTGCCGGCCCAGGAGGGGAGCGCGGGAAGGCAGTGCTCTTCCCGTTAGCAAGGGCGGTGGCTGGGGCGCTGACTTCGGGCCAGGTTGCCCACATCCCAGCCCCAGCTCTGGCTTTGGTCTCCTGTGTGACTTCCGCTTCTCTGACTTGTGGAGTGGAGACGATGCTAGTCGTTATAGACTCGTGTGAGGATTGAACGGTGGCCTGAAGCCCTCAGAACAGTGCCAGGAGTTCTCTCTGCCTCCTCCCTCCTTGCGGGCTTTCAAAGCACAGCTCGGACCGCGGGCGTTGTGGTCAGCCCGAAGCCCTGGACACCAGCAGGTAGTGAGCTGCGGGGGACCTCTTCATTCTGTCCTCACCTCTTCCCCTCTTTCCTACTTTCCCCCTGTCTTCTCCCAGCCCCAGGGTCTCACTCCTTGCTTTCTGTCTCCGTAGTCTTCTCACCCCTTTTCTCTTTCTGTCACGGTCTGGTCTCTGTGTCTGCCCTAGTTGTCTCTCATGTCATCTGAGTGTGTACCTCTGGCTCACTCTGCCCTCTGTTGTTCACCCCAGCTCCGTTTATTTTTTTTTGGCGGGGTGGGGGAGTTAAGACAGTATGTAGCCCAGACTGGCCTTTTTTTGAGACAGCGTCTCGCTATACAGTTCAGGCTGGCCTTGAGCTCACTTTGTAGCCCAGGCTGGTCTAGAACTCGCAACGATCCTCCTGCCTCAGCCTCCCAAGTGCTGGGATTACAGGCATGTGCCACCATCTGCAGATCTGTTTCTTTCTTACCCACCTCCCTCCCCTATTTTGTCTCAACTCCTCCTGGTTTGTTCTTTCTTTCCTGCACTCACCTGTCCCAGCCTCCCTGCCTCTTTCATCTTTTTCCTTTCCTCTAGTTTCTCCCAATCTTTCCTGTAGTCCTTCCCTTTCATTTATCACATTTTTTTGAACATCTACTCTGTGGCATCCATTCTATGGCATTTTTGGGAGCAGGTGCTGGGCTGGGGATTGAACCCAAGGCCTTTGCAGTGAGCTCCAGCCCCTCCCCATCTTTTTTTTTTTTTTTCTATTTGTAACAAAGCTTTGGTGAGTTGCTCAGGCTGGGCTTGAACTTGTGGTCCTCCTGCCTCAGCCTCCCATAGTGCTGGAATTAGTCATGGGCCATCATGCCCAGCTTACCAGGATTTTTTTTTTTTTTTTTTTTTTTTTTGAGACAGAGTTTCATGGTGTACAGTTCAGGCTGGCCTTGGCCTCACTTGTGTAGCCCAGTCTGGCCTGAAACTTGAAGCAATCCTCCTGCTTCAGCCTCCCAAGTACTGGGATTACAGATGTGTACCACCATGCCCAGCTGGGATTTATTTATTTTTTGTTTTTTGCTTTTTGAGACAGGGTTGTATTATGTAGTTCAGGCTGGCCTTGAATTTATTATGTAGCCCATGGGGACTTACTTTAAGTGTTGGGGACATAGCATTGAGTAAAACAGGCATAACTTTCTGATGTTAGCCAGGCGTGGTGGCCTATAATCCCAGCACCCTGGAGGCTGAGGCAGGAGGATGGGCATGAACTGAAGGCCAGCCTGGGCTACAAAGAATTCAAGGCCAGCAAGGATTACATAGGGAGACCCTGTCTCAAAAAAAAAACCAAACTTTTTTCTGAGACAGTCTCACTGTGTATAGTTCAGGATGGTCTTGAACTCACCATGTAGCCCAGGCTAGCCTCAAACTTGCAGCAGTCCTCCTGTCTCAGCCTCCCCAGTGCTAGGATCGTAGTGTACACCGCCAGCCAAAAATGCCTAATCTCATTAGAACTGACGTTCTTAATGGGAAAACGCAAGACATATGATCAACAACCTACATATATATTCTGTCAGGTAGTAATAAACTCAAAGGAGAGAAGCACAGCAGGGTGAGGTGACTGGGGACAAGCCAGAGGCAGAGGCCCCGGGCAGGGGGACCAGCCAGGGCTAAGGCCCGAGGCCGGTGGGGCTCGATCCAGAGGCACTGCCGGGAGAGCGGAGGGAGGTAGTGGCAACCTCCCGGGGCAGGTGCCCTGGGCGCCGGGGCCTCAGGGTGGTCGTGGGCTTTTCCTTGAAACAAGGTGGCCGCCACTCAGGACTTCGAAACTGAGGGGGAAGCCGGGCTGGCTCAGGTGCCTAGCAGCGCCTCGGATGGCCAGGTAGTTGGTGACAGTGGAAGCTGGGAGCCGGGTGAGGAGGCCGTTGTCAGGGGTCAGGTGAGGGCGATGGCAGCCGCACCAGGGAGCCCCTGTCACCAGGGCTTGACCTGCTGGCCTTCAGGGCTTGGCTCTTTCAGCAGCGGTTTCCGGTCCGGCCGGCCGCCGGCGGAGCGGCTCTGCGTCCCCTCTGCGCTCCCTCTGCGCTGCTAGCGCTGCTGGCCCGCGGTCCCCGCGCTCCGACGCCCGCGGCCTAGTCCTCGCGCCTTGGCGTTGCTGTTGCCCCTGCCCGCTGCACATCATGCTGCTGGAGAGTCTGCTTTGCGTTCTTCGGGCTCAGAGGGTCCGTGCCTCGCAGGGAGTCGCTGCACCCAGGGCCAATCCATTTTAATCTGCCGAGAGACCACCGGGGTCTGTATTTTGAAGATACAAGCGAGGAACAGGGCCAAGCTGCAAGCCAAGGAGGGGTCTGAGCACTGGGGTGGGGCTGCCTCGCTGAGACCCGCCCCTGAGGACCATGGGGGACCAGGCTCCCCGGCCTATGGCTTCCTCTCTCCTCCGCAGGGCTGCGCTGTCCTGCGGGTCTGTCCTCTCTTCCTCCTCCAATAAGGCTGCTCCCTGAGGAACCCTTCCTCTGGCTTCCAACCTGCCACAGTCCAGAGGAACCTCAAAGATTAATTCCTGCCTTCATGGGGAGCCAGGGATCGAACCCAGGGCCTCAGCACTGAGCTACATCCCCAGCCATTTTTATTTTTAGTTTGAGGCATGGTCTTGCTAAGTCACTAAATTGCCCAGGCTGGGCTCCATTTACAATCCTCCTTCCTCAGCCTCCCAGAGTGCTGGGGTTACAGGTGTGCGCCACCATACCTGGCTCTTTCGTGGGATTTAGGATCTTAAAAGGATTCTAAAACTGTTGTGTAACTTTGCCTTGGTCTCCTCATCCACAGGAGGAGATTGTATTAATCACACATGGCTGGGGACAGCCAGGGCTCTGAAGATGGTGGGGATTCCCCCCGGGGGGATGAGTGTTGGGATCATGGGGTGACCATGGCAGCCTGAGCCCTGGTCTCACGGGTTTCACTTTCCAGGGGAGGATGGATATTCCGGATTGGCCCTTGTCCAGTTCTTTCCGTGCACTGGTGTGGTCTTATCCCCAGGCCAGCTCTTCTCAAGTTTGCAGAGCCCATGATAAGAGATCCAGGCACTTGTGAGTTCATGCTCAAGGCCAGGCTCCTACTGAACCAAAGGGCTCTCCTTCAATCTGATTGGATGATAAACTCAGATCCCCCCCCTCCCCAATCTGTGTCGGTAAGATTGTCAGGAACTCATTGGTCAGGATTTGAGTTTCTGAACCACTCAGGAGGGAAGGCGGGATTATCGTGAAGCTTTAGACCAATTAAGACCCAGTCATGTGTGGTTCCCTCAACTGTGGGAACCGTTTATATGTGGTACTTGGAACTGAACCCAGGACCTTTGCACTGAGCTATGTTCCCTAGCCATTTTTTTTTCCCCCGAGACTTAGTTGCTAAGTCACTAAATTGCCCAAGTCTTGAACTCACTATGTAGGCCAGGCTTGGCTTGCCTCG